GTGTGAGTGTACCATCAAATCAGATCTGACTGGTACAGGAGGAGATTGTCCCTCCTTCCCCAGCAGAGCATCTGGTGGATTCGAACCGTGCGCCTCTGGGATTGTAGTTGCAGCTCCTTGCCACTAGGCCACCAGAGCTCCCCGGATCTTCTCAGTTTAAAGACAAGACCAGCCAATCCCCTCGTGAATTGGTGAGACTAGCTAATCCCCTTGTGAATAGGCTAAGACACCTATTCACACATTCCCCGCCCATCTACATGGTAGAGTAAGATAATAACTAGGGATGTCATTCTGAATAAATCTTAACAACACACCTAACTTTGTAACAAAGATCATGTAATCGTCGTTAACATACTTATCTGGCCTGATTAACACAGAGAGATCCAATTTATAACGAACACAATGGAGGAGGATTACATCAGATCACAAAATGGAACACAGCTAAACAGTCCTGGGAAACCCATGACCTCGCCAAGTGCACACACAGCCCCAGACATCACAGGTTCCACATGCCTCATGTTCACGGTCCTTCCCAGTCACTGTGAGACAGCTCACAGACAGCTCTGGAAGGGCTGAACCAAGTTATTCACGCCATCATCTAGTCACATGACTGCTGCACTGGCCCAGAGAGCAGGACGTGCCATGGAATCTCTGAGACAGGATTATGTGATTGAGGTGGGAGGTATTCTCCAAAAACAGGTGTGAGTGGGCTGGCTAGGAGGGCACTCATGGAATTCAGGGGCAACTCTGAGGGTGTGAGTGGGGGTGCTTTTTCGTTGACCTTAGGATCCCAAGGAGTAACTTTGGGATAAAGATAGGCATTATTTGAGAGATTGTAGGAGGTAGCTTTTTTGGGGAATGGGAACAAATAAGGATCTCTTCTCTTCCTTTGGCAGGACAGCTTTCTTCCAAATTTCCTGGCATAGATTGGTAAGCACATCTGAGGCTGCATCTGTTAATTGAAACAAGTCAGTCCTTGGGCCCTTATTTTTTGCCGGTGCCGTGCAGCTTCCACATCTGCCTCCATTACCATTGTCTCTTGTTCATATGGTTGTTGTTGTTAAGTGCCGTTGAGTCATAGATGAGTCATAGAGACCTTATGAACAAAAGACCTGAACACCTGTATAACTTTCATCGTTTCTCCAAGTTTGTAGGTTTTTCTGGAGGCAAGCCACTTTGGAAGTGGATGCCACTCCTGCTTCCTAGCTTGTTTTAATCGGGGAGCTCCACCAAACACTGTCCATCATGGGTAACCATTATCACATTTGACACATCAGTGTCACAGTGTTCAGCATCACAGTAACCACGAGTTAACTCTGTACAGCAAATGGACAGACCAGTACTGTACCACTTAGAAGAATGTTTGACCAAAACCAATTACAACCAGGCCTGAGGGCCACAGATTAAAATCACCCACCTTTGTCTTGGTAGCATAACTTTCTGTCCACCAGGTCCAGAGAGCTCTCTCTATGTTGTTGTTGTTAAGAGCTGTCAAGTCATAGATTACTCATTGCAACCCTATGAATGAAAGAACTGAACAATTGTATAACTTTGATCATTTGTTCATATGGTACTACCTGAAATTTCTCAGTGTTAATCAGTTCTTGCTGAAAGTGAGGAGGACGTGAAGCACTTGTTGCAGAAGATCAAGGAATGCAGTCTTTAGTATAGATTGCATCTCAGTGTCAAGAAAGCAAAGATTCTTACCACTGGACCAATAAACAACATCATGATGGATGGAGATGAGATAGAAATTGTCAGCATCTTCATCCTGCTTGGATCCACAGTTAACACCCTTGGTACCAGCGGTCAGGAAATAAGGAGACACATTGCAGTGGGAAAATCTGCAGTTAGGGACCTCTTCAAATTACTGAGGAGTAGTGATGTCAGTTTGAGGACTAAGGTGCCTCTGATTCAGGCCATAGTCTTTCCGACCACTTGTTGTGCATCTGAGACCTGGACAATGAGTAAGAATGACAGAAAAAGAATTGATGCCTTTGAGCTGTGGTATTGGAAAAGAGCACTGAACAGCCCAAGGATGGTCTAGAGGACAAACAGATCTTGGAGAGTGCTCTTTGGAGGCAAGAATGATGAGGCTCTGCCTCACATACCTGGGCGTGTTGCTGGGAGGGGCTGTTCCTTGGAGAGGGACATGATGCAGGGAACTGAAAGGTCGGCGAAGGAGGGGAAGACTCTCAACCAGGTGGATTGACACGGTGACTGCCTCAGTGGGCTCTGGTTCAGACCTTTTGTTCGTAGGGTCACTATGAGTTGTACTAAACAATAGGAGGTAACTTGGGTAACATGAGTAGGGGTGATTTAGAGGATTTGGGGGGGCTGCTTATATGGAGTAGAGATGACTGGAGTATCTGGGGTGACTTAGGGAGTTTGCTGGTCTCTCTGGCAGTGGGCAGTGGGTGTGGGGCTGACCTGGCACACCTGTGGCCTGTGTGACCCATCCTGGCCTTCTCCCCGTCCCCCAGTGCTTATCCACCTGGGCATGGGCTTCATGATGCTGGCTCTGGGGCTGTACCTAATCCTCCTCCCCTGCATGGGCTTGTCCTTCCGGTCATCCTTTCGCCGCCTCACCAAAATCGACCTCATCTTCAGCTTCCTCAGCGTCAGCATTGGTAAGCAGAGGCTCGGAGTCCCCGCACTGCCCAGGACCCTCCTTGGGCTTCTCTGGCTCTGGGGAGACCGGAACCTGTGTCCTTGAGCATCTCTTGGGGTCTCTGCTCCAGTCTCTTGGCGTGGACATCAGTTCTGCTTGACCATTCTGTCCCTGTCGGGCGTGTATGTAGGGAGAGGGAAGTGTGTGTGGGGGTCTGTTTCCCAGTTTGGTGTCCCCTCTTCTCCAGGTATCTTCTCTGTCTCAGGGAGGTGGGCATTTCTCTCTGCTTGCCAGGAGGGTGGGAGAGGAGTTTTCTCTCTCCTCTTCCTGGGGGGAGCAGGGTGTCCCAAGAACTCCTGGTCAGCTTCCTGTCCATCTCTGGCCCGACCCCAGTGCAGGGCTCCTGATTCTCCTCAGCCTGACGTTCTTCACAATCAACTGTCACAGGCTGCGTCCGAAGCCCATAGTATCCTACACGGTGACTTTCTACCTGTGCTGGGGCGCCTGCGCCTTGATGCTGTGGGCGGGTGAGGGCGGGGCCTCGGAGAAGGGAGGGAGCACGTGGAGGG